TTTTTTTTTTTTTTTTTTTTTTTTGTCAATAGGCAAAAGGAATGCGATATCCTTTGGTTGTACGGACCTCTTTATCAACCAGATAATGATCCATTCATGGAAGATGATGATGACAAAACCTTGGTTGGAACTCCACCAGATACTGGTTGTCCTCCTTCACCTAGTTTATCACCATATTCCACTTCTCCAACAATTAAACCAGCTTTAAAGAAACCTGTAGAACATGACCCTTTAAAAGACCTCATTTCTTACGCTTGTGAAGTTTTGACTCACGAAAAACCTTACCCAAAACGTCGACATACCGTTCCTATTGAACCAAAACAAAAAAAGAAATCTATTAGATTTAGCCGAAACCTTGAACAAGTTCATTATACCCCTACTCATTATACCATCCGTCCTATTTCAATACCACAACCACCACCACAAAGACGTAGAATGAGCAATCCATTTTTCACAAAAATGGAAGAAGATTTATCATGTGGTAAAAATGTTGAAAAATATGATCAAATATTTGCTTGGGCAAAAGAACAAGTCAAATCAACTGGTAAACTCCGGTTATTCGGTGAAGATGGTGCATGGTTAGATGGAAATTCCAATGATGACGATGATGATGAATTTGTAATGCCACCACTTCCACCATTGGTTAAATCAATTCCAAGACGATCCCCGTCCGCATCTCCTCGATCTCCGAATCGCAGATCACCCACGCCACCTTCCTCATACACAGCCACATCAGCCAAAAAGATGTCGGCCTATTCTAAAAATAGTTTTGTCAATCAGAAGCATGTGACCTCCCACGTGGCATTCGGCGATTCTGAAACTGCTGAATCAGGAGTTGTGGAACGTTGTGTAAACATTGCATCCAATGTTAAAGATGTTGTAAGCTGGTGCGGTTCCATGTTATGGAACAGTACCGTTTTCTAAACATTTCTTCCACAAAGAAGGTTAGAAAGGAAAAGAGATGACCAGTCATAGGGATTTCCTTTCAACCAAAAAGGTACTTAAGACCTTGATTTCCCACTTCTTTTTTCGATAAAAATTTCAAAAAAATTAATTTTTTTTTGAGTTTTAATTTCTTTTTCTTTTCTTTTTTTATTTTTTATTTTTTTTTTCTTTTATATTATATATTATTATATTGGGTTATAATGAACAATTTATTTTATTAGGATGTTTTTTTTGGTTTTCATGAACTTTGTACTATAATGTATTCCATCGCACTTCTACTCGTGTAGTTTTTTTTTCAAAAAAAAATTTCTTCGATTCTATTTTACGTTTTTTACCACAAAAAAAGGTATTGAATACCTACCACTCAACTTTTATTTTACCACTATTATCCCCTTTTTAAAAAAAAAATGTTTGTGTTTGTAATATTTTAAAACTCGAAAGTCTTTTTCCGTCTTTTGTCAATCGCAACGATTTGCGTTTGCAAATAACTTCGAAATTTTTTTCGTATAATTTCTTCGTACATGCCACGATTATTTTCTCTTTGCAAATAACTCTTCCATTCAACAACAATCATCGCAATATATCTTTGCATCAAAAATTTTATTATACATTATTCGAATATACACTTTTTAATGAAAAACATACCCCTTCATCAGCTTTCAGCTTTTGAAGCTACAACACACTACCTCACTTCATTGTCGTCAAAACCGAACAAAGAAGGACAGGATGATTTCCTTTGAAAAGGGACTCTTTCACACTTACGCACAAGGTTATGGGGCTGCTTTTTACTTTAAACCAATATATCCTCACTTTAAACAGGTGGAAAGACACACTCCAAGGAATCTTAGAGATTATTGAAGCTGGTCACTGTCAACTTATTCGATTCCTAAGGATGTAATCAACCGCAGGTCACTGCTAATGGGCCAACGCCTAACTATTGAAAGAAAATAACAGAACATTTTTATTATATATTATTATATTTTTTTTTATATATTTTATCCCTTATATATATATATCATTTTCTTTTGATATGATGAAGTTATAAAGCCCAGCATACGGTGCAATCGTATTCTCTAACGAAGATTCGAATTGGCACACGGAGCTAGGTTTCTTTGATTTTTTGCAGCATGGGTTTTTCCATTTTTTTCTTGTATTGGCTACTTTGTTTTTAAGTACGAACAGTTTTTCATTTTCTTGTGGGTGGGTTGTTGTTTGTGTATTTTTTCCTTGGAACATCTATTCTATTCTTTTCTTTTGTTTCGTTCTCACGATTTGTGAAGTTAAGACTTCCGAAACAACTTTTTTAAAAAAAATTATTTGACATAACAACACTCGAATTTCAAATAACAACAACTCAAAAATTTAAGCTTTAAAATTCCGCCCTTTGATTATTTACTTATAATTAATCATAATTATGCCTAATAATAATTACACCAAAAATTTAGTTAACATATAGCATTTTATCATACCGCCAAAAAAAAAATCCAATTCATCCATCATCATTTGTAAATTTATGAAAAAAAAATTTTATTTTTTTTAAATAATTTACAATTAACTCTACTAGTACCGCCATTCGCCAATTTCGCATTAATTTCACGAATTATCTTTTACGAATTTTCGAATTTTACGAATTGTTCCTTTATATTCAGATTTTGCCACTTTTTTTTGTTTGTCATATTCAGATTTTGCCAATTTTAGTTTTCAGATTTTGCCAATTTTTTTTTTGTTCCTTTTTTTAATTCAGATTTTGCCAATTTTTTTTGTTCACATTTTATTCAGATTTTGCCAATTTTAGTTCTTTAATTAATTTGCCAATTTTTTTTTTTGTTTCTTCGAAATTTTGCCAATTCTTAATTACGTTTTTTATATTCAGATTTTTTTGCCAATTTTTTTTTATATCTTGTTCTTTTTTTTATTCAGATTTGCCAATTTTTTTATCGTTTTGCCAATTTTAATTTTGCTTTTTGCCACTTATTTTTCTCTTTTTTATTTTTTTTATTTTCATTTTTTTTTTTT